CCCTCTCCTTCCCAGGTGCTCTGTTTACATGCTACCCATTTAATCTCCTGAGACTTACTTTCTCCTGTAGAAAAAACAACCTGTAGAAGGCCTTTAGGAGGAGGGCTCTGTCTCCTCTAATTGGTTTGACAAAAGTGATCGAGTAATTAAAACATTGATAGAGGCTAGTCAGTGTGGGATGGATGTCAGTTGCTGACACCTCATAATACATGAGGAGGGCTGCATCTGACACAAGGGGATAATAGAATCAGATGGGAGTGAAGTTGAAAATGGGAACAAAAAAGCTCAAAGGGGAAGCAAGTGAGTGATGCTACAGAAAGTAATTCTGGAGAGAAATTATGAAGACAACAAGAGATGGGAATAAGAGAAATCTAGAAAAGCTGAACAAAGAAAGAGGAAGAAATAGGGAGAAAAAAAGCTAAATACAGAAATGCGAAAACCAAAAAAGGCATTTTTGACAGGGAGCGAAAAGCCACATGCAAGCAAAAGGAGGAAAGTTTGATAGAACTAATGAGAAAAAAATCTATGTGTTGTCCGAAAGAATGATGAAGAGACCAGAACCTCAGCTGATGGCTAGATTTTTGAGCCAGATTAGGCTGATCTAAATTTAACCGAAGGAACATGAAAGCAGGATGAAACAGCAGGGACTGCTTTCTTTTAGAATTAAAAAAGGGCAACATACTGAGTCATTCCAGAAGAAACATGTGGATTCTGGAATAACTCAGGCGATGGTTTGTTTTTTTTCTTATCTTTAAATATTTTCTTTCCTTAATTAGTGGTAGCAGAAAACTAACATGTGGTGAGACTTGAGAAACCACAATAACCATATTAGCTAAACGAGAGTAGATTTCCTTTCAGAGCTCTAACATATGAACAAAAATTAGCTACATGCTTCATTTGCGTAACATGCAGATTATCAAATAGTTGCGTCAAGAAGAAAAAACTCCACTTGCAACAGCATGAAGGTGAAGCATAAAGCATCTGTAAGGATAGCTGGCTGGACTTTGTAACTGGGTTAAAAGAAAATGTGTTGAGAAGGTAAGTTGGATTAATTATCCTCTATTAACTTTGGCATTCACTAAATGGTGAAATCTTCACCTTACGAAAGACATATTCATGGTAGGTATTGAATATATTGCAGACTAAAAGCACAAGATACATTTAAATCAGAAAGCACCTGATTATGGAACAAGATGACCAACAGTTTTTGTAATGGATAAGCTAAAACTCTGATTTATCTTTTCATTAGCTATTACAATTCTGATTTATATTTTAATAACTCTCATTCCATGAAACAGCGTTGATAATATTCAGCTGCTTCACAGGCCAATCTGTTGGTATTCCAAAAGTAGGTTGTTGTCTGAGACAGATGTTGGAAGCTGTTACTGGCAATAGAAGTCCTGGAATGAATATGGATTACAGTCACCAGGGATTTAGTGATTTGAATTCACATATGGTATTGTAATAGTTAGGGGTTTTCTACTTCTGTTATTCATTATCTGATGGTTACATGACTGCTATGGGTTAGGTTTGTCTTTGTGTAATGAAGTTTGCTTTGCAAGATCCATCTCTTTATTCCCAAAGTTATGATAAAGTAGCACTTACAAGGCCCCCAGTGAAATGTTCCCTAATGAAATACCAGCATTTACCAACAGAATGTGTTCCTACTATAAATTTGCTTTCTTAGCAGGATTTGAGCACATGTTCTTAAATGTCAGACACTGTGAACAGGACTCAGTGTTTTTCTTCAGACAGTGTTTAGACAGAAAGTGAGTTCTCCATAAACAGGATCTAGGCTGTCATATATAGCTGTTTTTACAAGGAGTGTATGCACCTCAGTTTGTCAAGAGCAAGCATACTATTCCTTGCAGCACTTGAGGGATGGGAGATTTTAAAATTAAAGTTTTCTCTCCTTTCCAAGAAAGCCCAGAAAATACCTTACGAGTGTCAACTCAAGCCCAAATCAAATTAATTAGATGGTTTCTGTTACTATAATTTTACATGCAAATAACAGCAAGTTAGTAAAACAGTATAAAAATGTAGTTGCAAAAACAGTCTCCTTTTAACAAAGGTTAAAAGGATGGTCTGAAAACCTGTGAAGTTTTAATGATGAAAATTGCTATGAATTATGAAAAATAAATACAGTGTGAAGTACTTCACTATTGTGATTAAGGATGTCTTGAAATATTCGCAAGGACTTTTGTCTTCCCCTCCTCTTCTCTGTACTGAAACTCATGTGTCTTCTTTCCTCCACACAAGTGGACTTCGCACAACCATATTTCATAGGCTTTACTACATTATGGATTTAATCATAACTTGCTCCAGATCCGTGATGACTGGGAGTGGTTTAGTCCAAACAGTGATAAGGAGGCCAAATTAATCTTATAGTGAGCCCATTGAAGTTATTTGAGTCACAGATAGATTTCACCCTTTTTTCTTTGTATACATCAAACAGCGAAGATTGCTTTTCATCAGTAACCATCAAAACATGCATGCACTGTGTCCACAGAGATACACACATATAGGAAAAAACAAGACTCATTTCAGGAGTTTTAAGTATCTCTGTGCTGTTCTATGCAAATATGTGGGATTTTGTCACAGATGAAGTCTTGGGTACTATGAAAATCAGACATCGAGAAAACAGCATGTGCCTGCCAAATTGATTAAGAACCAGTATGACATGAAGCTTTAAATCTACCAAGTTCTATTTTGATACTAAACCAGCTATTAATCAATTTGGTAATTATTACTTGTCTCTGAAACTTGTTTCACAGTTTCATTCTAAATGATCTTGTTGATTTAAATGATTAATGTTGAAACTACTCATTTGCATGACATTAAGTGCAGCATTTGCAGAAACAGGTCATCATCGGGATGCGTTCTGAGCACAGTGGCAACACCCTCCTTTTTATGATTTTAATTCTAGCTTGATTATTTTAGAACTAATGTCATTACGTAGATAGCTTAATTGGTAAATTACTAAAATGTTTGTCTCCATCTCTCATACTTTCAGCACAAATAAGGTTAAACATCTTCCTTTGCATAAAAATGCAGGTTATTGTTATTGCTTGTTAGGAGGAAGTGGTGATAATTTTAATTTAACTCTGTACCTTTGACTAATGCTGTTATTTCTTGTTTTTCAAATTAAAGTGTACTCCTGTTGAGGCTGATGGTAAATGTTCTTGAGGCAGCCACAAAAGGGTATAAGAAAATCACACATCCTCTTTCATCTGATCTTCAGACAATTTGCAAATCTGGTAAGTACTAAAATAAAATAGGTAATCTATAATGCACGTATGCCTGATGAATGTATTAAACTGAACATGTAAATAGGATTGTACTTACAAAGGTAAACTATTCTTAAAAGTATTTATTGACTGATTTTTTTTCCTCATATATTTAAGTCTTTTTCTTCAGGTCTTTCTTTATTCGTTGTCTTTTGCTTGTATAATTCAAATTATATATCTGTTCTTAGGATTGTGGTTTAGTCTTACTTTTGAGTACTCACATATTGTTTTCATAGGGAGAAGAAATGTGATAATGTGGATAAGGTGGAAAAAGAGTAACCTAAAAATGCAAGGCTTATATATTTAATATTCAGAACATAAGTGGTTTTGTATGCACATGCACAGAAATGTGCCTATATGTAGTACATAAGTAGTGTTAGAACAGACACACTCCACCTTATATATATGGAAATTTATTTTTTCATATTTACCTAATATATTAATGCTAAATAAGGACACAGGTATGCAGATTATAAATTATAATGGTGCCTATTGAAAGACTGCTAGAAAGATTTAAATTGAAAAGAAAATTGTGTTTGTAAGAGTTCTGATTCCCCTGCCTCATCAACCAGTGCATCTTCTTAATAACTTCAGTGAATGCCATTTCAAATTCAGAAAAGGAATTCAGCTCAAGAGTTTTAAATCAGCTTTAAATCTGATCTCTGCAATTCTGATTTCTGTTTGAATCTTTTGTCACTACTCTCATATCAGCCATCCTCAGGAAGCTTTTGCTGGACAGTGGAAGTAATTTCCTGAATTAGTCTGTGGCTGGCAGTGCACTTGTGAATTCCTGTAGAATCTGGGAGAGTACACAGCTCTCCTGTGATGAGTAGTTACTGTTCCCTACAGGCTCTCTGCTGAGCTGTTCTGGGAACTAGTGAGCTCTTTCTCAGTACTTATCTGAAGAAATGTCCCTTCTTTGTCCTCCTTGCAGGCTGTAGGAAACACCTGCACTCCCTTTCTTCTAAATGCCTTCACCCAGTTGTCTTTCTTCTACATGTTAGGCTAATGTTTGAGAATGGATTTGTCTAAGTGGAATGAAGAGTGACTTTTACAGAGAAGATAAGCTGTCGGGCTCTCTTTGTATATTTTAACTATGTAGGTCTTAAAAAGATATGACTGGAAGATACCTAGAATGGTATTTTTCTTGCAACAATAAAAGACTGGTTTCTAAAATAGCAACTTAGAAAGGTGGTCCCTTAGTGTTGTCAACTGAAGAGTTACTGTAGCTGCAGCCAAGTGCAAAAGGTGAGAAAACATCGAGCAAGGGCATGAGTGTCTGGCTGGATGAGATTGGAGAGTGTAAAGCAGCAAATGGGAACTAGAGAGTTGTGCAAATGTGGGCTAGGGGACCAAAGCCTCAGGTGAAGTGCACAACTTACATGCTTGCCTTATACATCTCTGCACTTCTGAGAGACACCTTAAATTGTTTAAAGTTTCTTCAGAAGGTGTTCAAGCACTTTCGGTCTGCCATGTTCCTGCAGCTTCTAAAAATCAGTTTTGAGAAGCCAGTAGAGGAAGCTGGGGAGTTGGTTAAAGCTATTTTTAAAGGGCAGGAAACCCAGAGAAGCTGCGATGCCGTAGCAACGTCGTATAGTGTTGGTCTTTATCCATGTGCAGCCCTCCGTCATGAGCCAGCCTCCCCACATGAATCATCCTCATTATGGTTTTGGAGAGTGTTCTGTCCTTTCTCTTCCCCAACTTCCCAATTAGATCTGGACTTCATCTGCCCCACTTTTGCAGATTATCTGTCTGTCTCCCTCTGTGAAAATCAGGTAATTCCCAAACAGGAAGGTTTTGTATGTCTAGACATAAAGTTGCCCCATGTGCTCTTCCTAATAAGCAGCACAAGTAGCAAAACTCAGAGAAACTCTAGACTAAAATGCCCTTCACAACCTTAGCAAACATGGGGCCTCATGTCATCCAGTCTCTGAAATTACTGCTTTGCTGATATGTGCAGTTCTCACAGAACAGGTAATGGAAAGAAGAGGACTGAAGTCATGCAGGGGAGTGCTGGGGAATTAAATCTCCTGCTGACGGGTTCCAATGTGAGGTTGAACAAGTCATTTAAACCCAGCTTTACACATGTGTCCTCCAAGGGCATGTTCCCCATTTTAGTTTTCTGTGACTTTAGACTCCGTGATCTGATTTGCAGAAGTCTGAGCTTGGATCCAGTCAGTCAGTGGATTTAATTCTTTACGTAACTGAAGTCCTTCATAATTCTAAGCACTCTTAAAAGTGATGGTACGGGGAATAGGTGTCTCAAGCTGAACATCTCAAGCAGATACTTACTCTGATGACTCAGGGCTCAGGTTCTTTCCTTGTAAATAAAGGTAATAATACCTCCTAACCATGGGTTGTTGTACGAATTAATTCATTAATTAATTGTTATTTGTAAAATATTTAGGTATCACAGTGACAAAGAAAACGAGTTATGTTCATAGAGTGCAGTCTATAACACCGAACACTGCACTCTAAATCTGTGCAAAGACAAAACACTAGTGCTCAGTCTGTTCATATATTGTGTACTATCCTTTCCACTCTAAGATGCTATTATCCTGACAGTCTTCATTTACCTTAGTAATGTAATAAAAAAGGGCAAGTAATGAGATGTTAAAAGTGCTGACACACATTGATAAAATGCCAGAGTGAAAAAAACCCTGAAGTTAAAGTGTCGTATACTAAGGTAGTGCTGTTTATTTGTTCCATATTTCCCTCAATTCACTGATTACCATTGTCATATAGAACTTCTGAAAGTAAAATTAATTTACTCTGATTCCTTGTGGTGCAAATTGAAGTAAGAGTAGCACATTTTCATATATAATTTATTAGCCTATGAATGAGCATTCAGTACGTAAGATTATGCTCTTGATGATGCTGGTACAAACCATCTGCTTTCTACAACAGCACATTCTGCTGCAGAGATGTGTGATTTGTTGAGATACTCCTGTGTGTTGTTGATATAGTTCAAGTAATGAGATTCTGTTTTGAGGAAATGTTTTATTTCCAATTGTGATTTTCTATTTGTTCACATTTCTTGTGCTAGTTTCCCAATCCAATCTACTTTATTTTCTTTTCAGAAATCCTTGGAAAGTACTTTTAAATTCTTCTCAACGCATTTTTTTGAGAAGTGTAGTGCCAAAATGAATTTTGTAAGTACTTCATTGATAAACTATATTAGTACATCAATAAAGCAATGAATCTGGAAGTGCCAGTTCTTTGAGCCTGCAAATCGAAATGCCCTAATTTCAGGAGTGATAAGCTGAAGAGAAGTTTCTGACAGCAGAGTGCACTGTCAAAGCACACTATTTATTGGGTTTGCACTCTCCTAATGTAACTACAGGTTTGGTGTTTGTGATGCAGGTAACTGTGCCTCAGGCTAGCTATCCTGGATTGCCTGTGTATTTGAGTATAGAGGAGTAATAATTTTTGGACTTGATTTAGTCAAGCTACATTACTATGAAATCTATAACATGATAGACCAGCCTGTTCCTCTTCCCTGGTGGTAGACTAGACCCCTACTTCAAATTTAGAATGTTACACTGTAGAGTATTCTGTGACAGCAGACTAGTCGTTTCTGCATAATGCATTTAAAGATGGAGACCTTCGGGCCATCCAGAGATTATGCCCATCTTCATATTTTAATTATGATTTTATGAAATTTCCTGGATAGTTCTTTCAAGTCTCCTCTGCAGTGCTAAATGCATTTCTAATTGGGGGTGTGCTTGGTTACCTGTCATGTTTCTACTAAATAGGAATTAAAGATTAACATTTTTGTGTTAACTGGTGATCTCCTTTTTTTACAGACAGACTCTTACACCACAGATTATTTCAATTATCCAGATCCTTATCAAATCGTACAACTTTGTTCTAAGTTGGAAGTCAGGAACTTTACAAAAGTATTTCTGCCCGTTGCATATTCATTGATTTGTATCATCGGCCTCATTGGTAACACCTTTGTAGTGATGACCTTTGCTTTGTATGAAAGATCCAAGTCCATGACAGATGTGTACCTCTTCAACATGGCCATAGCAGACATACTCTTTGTTCTCACTCTTCCTCTGTGGGCAGTGAATTACGCTGCTGACGAATGGATTTTTGGTGATTTCATTTGCAAAATGACCAGAGGTATCTATGCAATCAACTTCAGCTGTGGCATGCTGCTTTTGGCCTTTATCAGTGTGGACCGGTACATTGCTATCGTACAGGCAACAAAGTCATTTAAACTCAGGGCAAGAACATTCGCATATAGTAAACTCATTTGTTTGGCTGTGTGGGTATCGTCGATTTTAATCTCTAGTTCCTCTTTTCTATACAGTGCAAGTTACAGCTTGTCCAATGAAACCAAAGAGATTTGTGATCAAAGATTTGACAGAATGTCTGAAAGCACAATGCTGAAATCACTGCTGCTGTGGCTGCAAGTTGGATTTGGATTTTTTATACCTTTCATATTCATGATTTTTTGCTATACCTTCATTGTCAAATCCTTACAACAAGCTCAGAATTCCAAAAGAAACAAAGCAATTCGTGTGATTGTCTTAATTGTGGCTGTTTTCCTAGTTTGTCAGGTACCTTATAACATTGTTCTTCTTGTGACAGCTGTAAACATGGGCAAGATAGACAAGTCTTGTCACAATGACAATATAATGGCTTATGCAAGATACACTACTGAAGCCATAGCATTTTTACACTGTTGTGTGAACCCTGTGCTCTATGCTTTTATTGGAGTGAAGTTCAGAAGTTATTTTGTGAAGCTAATGAAGGACCTATGGTGCATGAGATACAAGAAATACAATAAGCGTAGTTCAAGGACAAACTCTGATACTTATCATTCAAGACCGACTAGTGAAATTGTGACTGACAATGGGTCTTCTTTTACTATATAATACAGTTTGAGCAACATTATTCCTGGAGGACTCTTCTGATCGAGCAACCCAAGCCAGTGTCACTGTGCATGTGACAGTAAGTCATCTGAGCTTCTCTGCACCTCTAAGGGAGCTCCCCTGATATGCAAAATCTTCCAGAAAAATAACTAAGATAAAAGAACAATGCTGTCCTGTGTAAAACTGAAATCTTATTAATTTCTCTTAGTGGTCTTTTGAAGTACACTCTCAGAATTACCAGAAAAGTGAAGTATACAGAGGAACCCTCCTCATTTTGTAAGGAAAAATTGCATCTCATTAGTCCTACAACACTGAAATATCCCCAGAGTAATAAGTAAATGAATCAGGTTATGTTCAGGCTCATTCTTACATTTATATTTCTGTTAATTACTTCTACCTGGAAGTTCTATTTAAGTGTGGGTCTCCACTCTGTTTATGTTGCATACAGGTCACACTGTGACAATACTAACCCAAAGAGATGGCATTTTGAGCAAAGCATGACAAGGAAAGCAAGCAGAAATTAAGAAACAGGCTCAAGGCTGCTGATATAGCTGGGCTTAGATGTTCGGTCTTGTAAATCTTTGCCTAGTTCTACACTCCACCTGCTCATCAGGCCTTGCTTACATCAAGGCTGAGGCTGGTCAAAGCCAACAGTGACCAATAGACAATATTAGAAAAATAGAAAATTATTATTTAAAGAGAATGCTGAAATAAATACATAAAGGTTTTCTGACATCTCCTGAGATTGTCTTCTAAACAGAGAGTGGAGCTTTGCTTGAGAGTTTCTTCTCTTCATTCTGCACAAAATTCAGGTGCTGGAAGCCAACAAAGCTGATAATCTGGTGAATGTCTCTGTAAAAAGTTGTCTCTTTCTAGCTGAAATTCACACTCCACTTTTTAAAAGGCAATAAAACTGTCTGGAACTGCAATTATTCATCACTTTTTTGGTGGCATTTGATTGGTGACAAAATATGATGCATTTCTTTGTATTGAGCTACAATCAGCAAAGTTTCCTTAGAAATTAATTTACTAGCTCAAATATGTATATATGTAGCTTCAGAAATTATTAAGGAATATATCTTTTAAAAAAAAGACCAGAATCTGACTTAATTCAGCCAGAACTTATGCTGAGTCAGGAATATTTATAATAAATGCAATTAGATTTACCCAGCCATGACTTTTCAGCAAATCCTCAGTGGATCTTCTGCTTATTGTCTGAGCTTCACCATGCTGTAGGAGTCATGGTGGGATGGTGAGGTGGACAGGAGCAGGAGCTGAAGGATGCAAGAGCAGGATGAAGGAGAGAAGAGGAGCACCACTGTTTGCAGTCTGCTGAAGTACCTACTAATCCTCTGCAATTCTGCTGCAATGGGATCATATGCTGTGATGATGTCTGGATTTGCTGTTGTGTGGGACATTACACTCCTACAGCTGTGAAAATGAATGCAATTTGCACCTTGCTGTTTACCTTGGTTGTTTTTGGATTTTAAAGTTCATGGCTGAAGAGATTGTGAAGCTTGTATCACTAACCACCCTGTTCATTGGCAATGCAGAGGACCAAGAAGGACAGTTCTGGAGCTGAAGATGTCTTGAGGAAAGACATTAATATGGCACATGAAACTAGTACTGCCTTGGTTGGTGCAATCTATCCTTGTTTCCACTGCAGCATGAGGTTTTTAAATATTAGTGCCAGATAGAAGGACTGTCTATATTTATCATGACTGAATAGCAATTTAGGCAAGAATATGATAGAAAATTATGTAAATGCAGATGCATGCATTTGCTGTACATAGCAATGATGACTGGAAGAGAATGAAGCAAATAAAAAAACAGAAATTAAAAGAAAAAAAATCCCCTCGATGTAAGAATTTCTTGCTACATGTATTGCCATGAAACATTCTCTTGCTCGGTTCAACGTCTCTCATATCTGAGCAGTGCAGCATCTATCCATCAGAGGCTGCCTAAGGGAGCATGCCCAAGGGTAGAAAGTCCACAGCTGAAGCTCACCGAGTGCTATGGCTGCTCTTAAAGTATCCCTCACCTCTTGCTGTCCTGCTGCCATGCCTGTGTTGGCCTTCAGCCACTGAACAACTCAAACACTGCTCCAGTGGCCACTGGAGCAGGGTTAGAGGGCAAGACAACAGCCAAGGCACAGTAATTGACCCTGTCACTGTCACCATCCCACTGGAGGGGTTTTGCTGACAGAGCCCAGGTGGAAAGATTAGGTCCCAAGGCAGGACAAGTGTGCCATAGCCTTCGTGGAGTGGTTCCTGGCTGAAAGGGCATCCTCCCTTGGCAGTGAGGGAGGTGGGGGAAGAGAGCAAAGCTGGGTCTTGCAAGGCTAGGTTCTCCCCCAGAGGGAGTGGCTCACCCTGGCTTGCAGGTTGTCAGCACCTGGTAACTGTGGGGGACCCTGGCAAGCTGGAAGCAGTGGTGGTGGGACATCTGCCTCAGGCAGGAGCAGGCACAGGCTCCTGGCTACTGGCTTGCGTGGAGGGGAAAAGTGCTCACTGGAAATGACATTGAAATGTAGAAAATGGACCTAGCTGCTCCCTGCTGCTCAAGAAAAAGAAGTGCTGCTGAGGGAAGAGGAATATGGTACACATGTAGAACTAAAACAGTGCTTGGGATGCAAATTGTGCTGGTGTCAAAGCATTGCCAAAAGACCCTCTTGAGGTGCAGCTGAAATCTTGATGGCAATGTATGTCTGCTCTGTCTCTGGGAAAGATGGGGGTGAAGGACAGGGTGGACTCCTGTGGCAGTTTGACATGTCTGGCTTCCAAGTACCCACAAAACCTGCTCTGTCACTCCCCTCCTCAACTGAATAGAGGAAAGGAAATACTAAAAAAGGCTCATGAGTTGACATAAGGGCAGGGAGAGATCATTCACCAATTACCATCATGGGACTTGGGGAAATTAGTTGAATTTATTGCCAATCCAAATTCAGAGTAGGATAATGAAAAGTAAAACAAATCATCAAAACACCTTTCCACACACCACTCCCTCCTTCCAGAGCTTAACTTTGTTCCCAATTCTTTATCTCTTCCCCCCCACAGAGGTGGAGGGAGATGGGGAATGGGGGTTACAGACAGTTCATCACAGGTTGTTTCTGCCGCTGCTTCCTCTGCAGAGGGAGGACTCCTTGCCCTGCTCCAGCATGGATTCTCTCAAAGGAGACACAATTCTCCATGAACTTCTGCAACATGATTCCTCCCCATGAGCTGCAGCTCTTCAATAACTCCTCTAGCATGGGTGCCTTTCCATGGGGTGCAGTCCTTCAGGAACAGGCTGCTCCAGTGTGACCCCATGGTTGGTCACAAGTCCTGCCAGGAAACCTGCTACAGTGTGAGCTCCTTTCTCCACAGGGCTGCAGGTCCTGCCAGGAGTGTGCTCCAGCGTGGGCTTCCCACAGTCACAATCTTCCTTCAAGCATCCACATGCTCTGGTGTGGCGTTCCTCCAGGGGCTGCAGGTGGATATCTGCTCCCTTGTGGATCTCTGCTCCACTGTGGATCTCCATGGGCTGCAGGGTACAGCCTGCCTCACAATGGTCTTCATCATGAGCTGCAAGGAAATCTCAGCTCTGGTGCCTGCTGCACTTTCTCCCCCTCCTTCTTTGCTGACCTTGGTGTCTACAATGCTGGTTCTCTCGTATATTCTCACTCCTCTCTTCCCTGTCTGCAATTACTTCTGTGCAATAACTTTTTTTTCCTTTTTACCTATGCTGTCCTTCTTAACTATGTTTTCACAGAGGCATTACTACCACCACTGATTGGTTTGGCCTTGGCCAGCAGTGGGTCTGTCTAGGAGGAGTCGGATGGCATTGGGTCTGTTGGACACAAGGGAAGGTTCTAATAGTTTCTCAGAGAAGCCACCCTTATAGCACCCCTGCTACCAAAACCTTGCCATGCAAACCTATCACAAACCCATTAGAGCTGCCAAGAAGCTGCTGAGCAGGGAGTACCACAATTCTAGCCAGCAGGGTGCTGTCTTTCTTACTTTTTCTGGGTAACTAGAGGAAGGAAGTGTGGGTAGCTAAAAATTTAATTTAGATGCAATACCTTCTGGACACTTTTTGTGAAATCTACCATAAGGTAAAAGAGCAAGACTAGTTCAGAGTGAAAGCAGTGGAGAAGAAGACTTAAGATCGAGCAGCAGGTGGCCACAGTGGCAGGATGGCCAGTGGACATGGCTGATGGGCCCTCAGATATTCTGCCATTCCTTCAGTGGCTGTGTCAGCAGAACCAACATGTGAGCTGGAGCAGTTGTTGGGAGTTCAGGGCATGAAATGAGCACAGACTTATAGGAGCCTGGGAACTTTGTGTTACTTTTACTGCTTATTGAGTAAGATTTCAAAGCTTGCTATGCACACTGCATTTTATTATGATTTTCATGTTGTGGTAGCTGTGTGTGGCACACACATGGTAAGACTTACTTTCTTTTCTCTTGTATGTATTCCATCTTGGACTTTTGGAAAGAAAATACTTGGTTTTATACATGTTCTCATTTTCCACAATATCTAAAGACAGAAGGATACATCCAGTGTTGCATCATGACTTACACGCAGAAGATGTGGCTGATAAGCTTCGAGAAGTCGATTCATATCTTCCTCCAGCTGGGGACTAGGGCTGGGTTGTGGTATTTTCTGCACGTACAAGGTCTGTGTTTGTTAATAGGTTCCACTTTGCCTTTGGTTGGTCCATGGTGACCCTACTTGGCACTTCCCATTCTAGCAGTTCAGAAGGAGGGAGGTTATCAGTGCACACTGTTAAATAAAGACATAATATCTCAGTGCAGACAGTCTAAAGGTAAATCTATTTCCTGACATATATAGTCTTGAAAATGGACCTAATTTATTATTCATCTCCCCATAAAGAGTGTCAACATTCTTGCCATGGTATTTAAATTTCATGAGTTATCTTTTCTGTTTATATATTCAATATCTTAGAAGTGTGATCACTATAAGATGGTGAACCTACAGGAGAGTCACAATGGACAGACAAG